CTAAAAGGCCCAGGCCTATGTGCTGTCTTTCTTCCTTCAGATCTGATGAAGTGATTTTACAAACTGGGCAACTAATTTAGCAAGTAAGCGCAGGCATAAACACACAGTAAAAGGCAAGAAGGATTCCACCTTAAAGATAAGATTGCATTTTAATACCTAAGAAGTTAAGACGTTAGAAATTCTTAACTTACTCTTTAGCAAACAATACCTCAGTCCACCTTGGGGGCTGAGCAGGTGGCCTTACTTTATATGCCCACAGACCAAGATGCTGGTATCTCAGGTAAAAATCATCAAAGCAGGAAGTTGCTTGTGTTAATTTAATTCTAAATGTTCTGGGACCACTTAATAAGTCCACACCCCTAAGCTTTTTTTCATGTTCTCAAAAATCCTCAACTGCCTATAAAACCCCTAGACACCGCACCACCAGGGACTCTATTGTCCCCTCCTGGCTTGAGCCTGGAGCTCTGTCTTTTCACTTTCTCTCTAAATAAAAGCCTGTACCTTGCTCTCCTCCCTTCAGTGTGAAGCTCATTCTCCGGCTTCCTGCACAAGAACCCCGGCATCACCTTCACTTAGTGTTTTTGTATTTTATTGATGATCCTTGCCTGAATCAATTATTACTTGAGTGTTTACGAAATGGTGTACTTCTAATTCTATTGCACCTGCTACATTTACTAGCTGGCATTCTTACAAAAAGAAGAGCTTCCCAACTCCACCTCCCATGCAGTTTATTCAGTATCGCCATGGGTACATGGAGTTCTTTTCAAGTTTTCTTTTAATTGAGGTGTAACTTTCCTAACATGCATAAATCTTCAGTATGCAGCTTGAAGACTTTTTACATATGAATAAACCCATGTAAACACCAACCAGCTTTAGATCAGGATACAGATCTGAAGAGGCCTCCTCATTTCCTCTAAGTCAGTCCACCCCACCCACCTCGTCCTCCCAACCTCTCACCTCCTGCCCCCTTAGGGAATTATTTTCTGGATTTCTGTTATCCTCAACTAATTTTGTTAGGAAAATAGATAGGAGCAGGGTGGAAATAGAATAAGGGCAGTAAAGCACACTAGAAAGGACTCAGAGTTAACTAGTTAAAACTAGAAAGCCAGAAAAGACTCCGAGTTAATGAGTTCATCAGTTAAAGCTCAAAAGGTCAGGAGCAACTTGGCCTTGAATGTTTGAGTATTCCCCAGAAAGGAAAAGTATCTGAGCACAGCCTATATCTTCATTGTGTCAATTAGATCATGCCATTGTAGGATTTATTCTAGCCTGCTAAAAGGCCCACCTATAAACAGCATAATAAAGACAGGAAGATTCCATCTAAAGCTAAAATTGCATTTAAATAAAAAAATCCAAGAAGTTAAGAAACTTACTCTTTAGCAAACAGACAATAACTCAGCCCACCTTGGGGTGCTGGGCAGGCAGTCCTAATCGATATGCTCCCAAACCAGGAAGCTGCTATCCTGGGAGGGGACCAGAGCAGTAAATTTCTTGTGCTAAGCTAATTTTGCAGAACTACCTGGAATACTGATAAGAAGAAACTTACGTTTCATCAGAAATAATAAACATCTTGAGACCACTTAACAAGTCCACACCCCTAGCCCTTTGTCATTCCAGAAAAACCCTTTAAAGGGGGAGCCCCCAGCCTTTCAGTGCACACCTCTCTCGGAGGTCTCCCGTGCTTTATAAGTGCATGACTTTAACTTTTTCCCAACCTTTTAAACTTAAACTTTCTCTCTCCAACCTTTCAAGGTGCCTCTCCTCCCTGAGGTCGCCTACACCTTTTCTCTCTTTAAGTAACTTTAAATAAAACTTTTACTCTACTTTACTACTGTATCTCTGCCCTTCAATTCTTTGCTGCACCAGGGACAAGAGCCGAGGAAAATACACAGTGCCTCACCCAACAGTTTTACCTATTCTGTTCCTGATCATCATTTAAATAAAATCATATTGTAAGTACTCTTTGGTATCTGGCTCCTTCACTACTCCACATCTTATGTGTTTCAGTTATCTTGCATGTAATTTGTTCTCTTTCACTGATGGTATAGTATTTCATTGTATAAATACACTACAGTTTGTTTATCCATTCTAATGTTGATGGCTATTTGAATTGTTTCTTGGTTTTGGCTATTATGAATGCAACTTCTATGAACATTCCTGGCAGGCATATGCTTTTCTCTTGGATATATATGTCTAGGAATAGAATTCTTAGGTCATAGAGCAGGCGTATGTTTAGGTTTAATGGATGGTATCAAACAGTTTCCAAATGATTTTACCAATTTACCACCCCTCTTTCAGCAAAGCATGAGAGTTCCAGTTTGTTAACACTTTGTAACATTAGTCTTTTAAATTTTAACCATCTGGTTAATGAATAGTGATCTCTCATGGTGGTTTTAATTTTCATTTTTCTGATAACTAATTATCACTTTATCAAATGCTAAGTGGACATTTGGTATCTACCTTTATAAAAGTGACTATTCTGGTCTTTTGTCCATTAAGAAAATTCTGTCTTTTTAATTCATTGTAGTAGTTCTTTATATATATTCTTGATACAAGTCATTTGTTAGATAGCTGTGCTTGGAATTTTACCTCCCATCATTTGGTTATGAAATATGGAAAGTGGGAACCCCTCATGCTGGCTTCCCCACCTTTTCCTTGGAGTATTGCCCACATGGCAGGGGTTCTGGGCTCACTTTGTTCTTTCCTGGCACCAAATCTGGAGTAGCCATTCTGTAAGGATCCTGGTTCCTTTTAGTGAGGAACTATTATTATTTTTAATTATGATGCCTGG